GTTATGTGATATCTTTTTTACGTTTAAGGCTTTTTCATAGTGACCCCAAGTCATTTATGACTTACTGGGACTAACAGTTGGTCACCTGACCGTTCATTTGGTTTTTATGCGAGTTTTTATATTTTGGAGCTTTTGAAACTTGCACAGTTAACTTTGGTCAAAACTTTAGGTAAATAGTTTTAGAATGCAATTTTGGCATTTCTGTTAGCTCTTGAACATCAATTTTGGTCTGGTAGAACATTAGGTTTGGGTCCCAGGCATCCAACTCATTTCAAACAACCTTGTGGATTTTGGCTTCAATAGAGCCTTGGGTATGGGACCCACTTTTTTTTAAGATGACCTATATTGGCAGTTTTTGATATCTCCATTGAGTTTGGTATGCCGAATATTGTGGAGTAATATAGTTTGAGTATGTGCACTAGTTTTCGAACCAATTCTGAGCACCAGAGTGGAGTTCATTAGGATTTAGATAAATTTTCTTGTGCGTGATGGTAGTTTTCACACCCCAAACTTGAGGGCCAAAACTATCACCTCATGCCAAAAATTAGGCCTGAGTCGACCTTGCTAAACCACTTGCTAATAGAGCATTTGTAGCCACACAGAGGCCCATTTCCACAGCTCTACAAAGAAAAGAACTACTCCTAACAGTTTATGTATAGCAATAACCAGATAGCACAAAAGCATATTTTGGCCATCGAGGCCACCATGGTATCTAGGAAAGCAAAAAGCTATGTGGGCCGTCAAAGTCACCATGACCTCTATATAGAAGCTAAAAATAGGTATGCAACTAATCATATGTCAAGTAGTTATCAAACATCAGCCAACCACAAAGCAAGGCCAACATGACCAATAACATGGCTATACAACCCAATACGCTAGTCTACAAGACTATATGAATATAACACTTGGATGGGATAGGGCCCTTGCCTACCTAAAATCTATAAACAACAAAGAAAGCAAACCTCTACAACTCTGAAATCCCTGGAAGAAATGACTGAACCAATCAGTTAAATAGGCAGCTGTGTTGCTTGGCATGCTTGTCTGGTCGCCACTCAAGACCTACAGGCATGAATATAGCTCCCCCCGGCAAGGGGCTTTAGTACAAAATAATGCACCGAGCATGTGAGGTAAACTGAAAGCTAAAAATAAAGTATTAGTACTGAACGCAAAGTGCTGGGGTGAAACACAAGTACAATACCTTGTCTCCCTGCAATAATACAATATAAACACATAAAAAGCAATAACCTAACCAAGCCTCTATAAGCACGACAAGTACGAACATCACACAATCCCTACAAGTCCTTACGAACACAAACAATCGCTATATACCCATATTAGCCCCTTACCTAGATCCCAATGATAATTTGATCTGAATTGTCTGAATGTACATGTGCCATGAATAACTGCAAGTCTGAGGCTATGTGGTACCATACATATATGTTGCCTCGTAGGTACAGCCTACCCGGTAGTTTAAAAGAATTTGGAGATTTTGAGAAAATTAGTTAAATGTTTTTTCTAATGAGGAGTTTTAGAAATGCTTTTGACAAGTAAAAGGGTTTCAAAATTAGAGGGGAATATATAAAGGGTTGGAGGCGGGGTGGGGGGACTTGGAAAGTAAATTTACCGACTAGGAAAATGAAATAATTTAATAGAATGTCTTTATTAGTAGATTATCTCAATTTTATGATATAACGGTCACTCAACCATTGATAATTATCTAAAGTCGTGTTTTTCTTCTTTTGTAATAAGAAGGTCACTCAACTTTGTTTATATCTCTTCAAAAGTCACTTTATTAATATTTGAACGAGCAGAATATGATATGAAATTATATTTATTTCGTACGGTCTTTTTCTTCTTTTTTTTTAATCTACACTCATCAATGACTCGACCTAGCTCTAACTCGTAACTTAAATTAACCATATTCACTTGGAAAAATCACGAGGAAAGCTTTAATTTTTGTTATCACCAAAACTGATGGCATAGGTATACTTTTAAAAAATAAAAATATCCATGGATACTTTTACCACATCTATCACTTCTTAAATGTCCATTTTATAGAACACAATATATTCTATTCTACCGATGCATTTATATGAATCAATATTTTCTCTTTTTAATATAACATTTAATTCAATTTTATTCATAAAATTAAATACTACTCCTATAAAATTTACAAGTTATTGTAATTTCTTAACTATATGGGTTATGGTTAGGGTTAGATCAGACATTGGTTTATTGTTACGTGAATTAAAAATAGAAATAAAGTTCGTGTGAGCAAAATAAAATGCATGCTTATTAATCTTTAGAAAATAATAGAAGTGGTAATCATTGTGTAATGACCCGACACGTCATACTAAGGGGAACCTCATGTGAAGTCCCAAAGGTTCGGTAGTGACGTGCAAGAAGTTCTAAAATTTGAGCATGATAGATTTTAGCCTAAATTATTTTCTAGGTTGGGTTGACGTCATCTGGTCATAGCGGAAAGTCATTCTCTATGGCGACGCCACTATAGCAAGAGTGAGACGTCAAATAAAATCAGGAACCTAATTAATGTGTCATCTTTTATAATCCTCCCACTTTTTGAAAGGATGAAATAGATGAGTACTGCTCCAAAAAACCCTCTAAAAGCACCTTGGGGAAGGGAGCAATTGAGGAGGGAGAATTCCGCATATAGGAGGTGTAAAGTCTACCAATTTTCCCTGTCGTTCACCAAAGGGTGATTATGTGGAGTCGTATTTTCGGGAAAAAAATTCACCAGCAGATGATTGGCGCCCAAGTAGACTAGGTTTTCTTTCCATTTGATAGTTAGATCTACTTTTATCGCATAAAATCCTATAAGTATCCGGAGATTTCATGCCTAGGCCTTTGGGCACAAGGTCTGGATGGTTAAATGTTGTTGTTATTGATATTATGAAAGGAACATATATTGACTAGGGGTACTTCTCTAGTGCTTGGTTGTAAATCTTGAATTTCCTTATTGGGACAACTTGGTGTGAATTTTAAGGCTAGGTGTTCATGAAATTTTTAGGTTATAGACATTCTGAACACGTGGTAATCAAGGGAAACTTGTGTGTACTCATAATAGGGCTTAGTGTTGGGCCATTAATATATAGGTGATGGTTGTGTGCTATAAGGTTTTGTATATATGCGTGTTTATTGCCTATAGTACCATATTGTGCAATGTATGATATGAAGCATATGATATGAACTGGTGATTGTAACTTGTGGGTTCAAGTGGTTTGTTCGTTGTGCTATGTGATTATGCATTCTTGATGTGCTTTCTTGTTGGCTCAGGTACCGCGCCAGTACAAGATATTTTTTTGCTGGCTCGGATACCATGCATGGTATGGCTATTTATGGTTGGTTCAGATGTGGTAGATGGGTTAGGTTTTAATTGTGTCCCATGAGGAGGACCAATATGTGCTAGTGGTTCCATTAGAGGACCCAATATTGTGTTGTGATCATGTGAGTAATTTAGCTAGGTATTATTGATTCAAGTGCTATTATTTCATGTTTTTATGAATGGGTTTATATTCGAGGTTGTTGTTCTAAGTGGTTGACCTGTGGTTGTGGTGTCGTGGGTTGTGCATATAAATCATGGGTGGTACTAGGAACCAAAGTTAGGTGATGCTTGTGATGGTTGAGGGATATTACTAACTACACACTTATGGGCTATTCTGTATAATAGTTAACTTGCTTAGTGGATTGAGTTTATGGTGACCCAGTTCTTTAGTGGTCTAAGCCATGGTTCTATTAGTCAGGGTGGTCTTGGTTGGTAGGGGATCTTGGGTTAAGTCTTACCAAGGATGAATTGAGCTAAGGTATCGGTTTCAGTTACTATTCTGGCAAAGGCTAGGGAGTTGTCATCAGTAATAAAAAGAGAGGACCGATAGCCGGTTGGACTAGTGATGGCATGATAGTCAGTGCACTAATGTGGTAGATGGGTTAGGTTTTAATTGTGTATCAATGTGCTATGTAGGTACGCTTGGGAAGCCTTGGGGTGGCATATTTGAGGTGCTTAGTCGTAGTTTTACTAGGGAAGAGTTCAGGCAAGGCAATAGAGTAGTGGCATGGTGTAACTTCATATTGCATGACTTTATCTCTATTTACTTGATATTATGTGGTAGGTTCATATCGACCGATGAATATGCCTACCATTAAATGTTGTTTGTACCGATTCTACTCTTGGTATGCAACTTGGCATAGTCTGGTTGCAGGGTCAGTGATGTTTCATAAGTACATATGATGATGATTTCCAGCAACTTCCATGTTTCTTTTCCTTATGGTGGGAGTTATGTCTTATCTTCTTGTATAAATTGTATTCATTTTGTAGCTCTTGTACCTGTTTAGACTAGTTCCTTGGGGAGGGTTTTCAATCATTTATAAAGGCTTTATTTAAAATTGTTGCTCTCATGAAGTTTTAAAGTATTAAATCAATTTCATAGAATTTTGTTTATTTTCGTATTGCTCGTTTAAACATTGGTTGGTAAGGGTTCTCCTAACTTGGTGTTGGAGTAGGTGCCCGCACGGCCCGATGAATTGGGTCGTGATGCATTGAGAAGTTTTCTTTCTATATTCTCCAAAATTAATGTTATCAAGTTTTTATTGACATATATATATATATATATATATATAGATATATATATATATACATGTAAAACTTGATTGTAAATATATGTAATTATTAAATTTATTTGAACATCACGTGGTCAAAGTGATTTTTATTGAATTTACAACACGAACTTTTTTTAAATATCTGATCGTTAAATAAAAATAGAATAAGAGTAAATTTGGTAAAGAAATAAATCTTAATAATCTAAACGTAACTAGTAAAAATATTAATAATCTAAACACATAAATTGAAATAATAAATACTTGAAAAGTTGCATTAGCCTACTGCAAACAACTACTACCAAATAAATAACTTATAAGATAAAGTATTCTACTTTCTAATTTCCTTAAATCTTCCATGTGTAAACCGTTTGTAGACTAAACGAGTGCTAATAGTCTCCTTTGATTCTCTTGTTGGGTGTAGGCTTCGGAGATGTGTCATCTGCCGCGTGATTGGATTCACCAACATCAGAAGCATGATTATTTGGAATGCACGAAGAAGTTGAGGGGGTAACCAGATTTACGAAGGGTTTGTGGATTTGTCTATAATCTGAAAACCACAGAGTGCCTCTTTTTGCATAAAACAAAATGTACGCCTGCTCTGCCAAAACATGATCTTTGTGAACCCAATGAACCTATCACAAAATCAAACAAATATCAAGTTAGTTGTCGTAAACTCAAAACGTATCTAACAAAATAAGGAAATTCCAATATTTTCCATACTTGCTCGTCATTAAATTTGTACCATTCATTTGGATTACAACGAATGAAGCTGTAATAGTGTCCTGAAGAGATTGAAAACCCCGAATGCACTATAACTGCATACAAATCGTATTTCATTTCTTCCTGTTGAGAAAAGGAAACAATATCATGTAACAACTAACAAAAGATAAAATGTAAGTAAAACTCCAAATGCAGATACTCACATTATTTATTTTGTTGGTATAATGAAACATGTCCAATTCCAATGGAAATGAAACATGCTTGTCCACCTTCTGAACAACAAACCCGTCATTATTGAATCTCTTCAAACAAAGGGTAGCAACAGAAGGGGCACGATCGATGAGGAGTTGTTTCTCAAATGGCCCTTGTGTCTTGCACTTTTCACAAGAAAATTCAATTTTCTCGATTTTAGTGAAAGACTCCAATGCTTTTGGTACACTATCAACGTCCACAATCTCCAAGCTTAGGTCGATTAGAGGCTCGTGTGTGACAGATAAATGACAACAATTGAAACAACGAAGCTGTGAATTGTGAAAAATAGGCTAACAACATAAATTCCATATTTACAAGTAGGGTCTAGAGAGGATAGAGTATACACATCCTTCCCTTGGGAGGTAGAGAGGATGTTTATGATAGACCCTTGGCTCAAGTAAAAGCATTGCAAAGCAGTTCAAAAAATGAAAACAACTAGAAATACAGAGAACAAACATGTAATGCTTACCATGCTCACAAGGCGGCCACCAAAGGCCTCCTTCACAATGTTGTTTCGTGGCTTTAAATTGTAACAACAAATTTCAAGCTTATTGAGAAAGCATTGTAAGAATTCATGTGCATCTTCTTGTTGATTCGGTCGGAAAGTAAGTGAAAAATCTGATCATTTCACAAAGTTAAGTAATACAAAGATATATAATATACATTGTTGGCACAGAGGCAAAAAGCACAAGTTGACAACCAAACTATAATCGATACTACTGTAAAAAAAAAGTATCATTCATTTTACAATTGTCCTTGATAAGTCTTTTCTATTTTAAAAATAATTCTATTACTCAAATTATCGTTTATGTACTTCATTGATGAGAATGTTATTATAACCCTTGATGTAAAATTAAAGTAAACTTCAAAAGGAAATAAATAAATGACTAAGGTTAACTATACGTGGTTTAGAGACGGGAGCATAGGTTTGTGTGAACCTACCCGTTTCCATGTGTGTCTCACTGTCTCTGTCTAAGAGGGGGGATATATGTCATGTTAAATCAACAAACAAGATATATTAAAGCATACCTCTCAAGTGGCTAAAAATTTTCTTTGGCGTGACATTATCAGAGACACCAGACATAGAAAGGTCAACTATCTGCCGAATCATGCAAACTACGCAGAATCCGGTCAAGTGAGCTGCAACAAGAAATGGCATGAATCAGCTAAGGTATAAAAGCCATTAAAATGGATTTAAATCAAGGGAAATTATAAGTTGATACTTACTATCACATGGTGATACATGATCAAACGATGCAAGAAGCTGAAGCAACACCACGTTGTGCATAAAACATTGCACAACCGCATTCAAGAAGCATGTGTTGCCTAAGTTACACATGCCAACTCCCTAAAACAAGACAATAGCATAAGCACTAGATACAATAACAATTGATTAAATACACACAAGAAACACTTCATTTAACTTAAAAGACAAATTATTTAATATCGTCACATTCTTAAATATAGTAGAATTAGGATATTTCTCAAATATGTATAGCATATCAATACAACAACGACAACAACAACAAATTAAGTGTAATACCACAGGATAGTGTGTACGACACACCTCACACATACCCCTTGTGACAGAGAGAGATTGATAAGTAATCTATGACATCTCAATGCCTACCTAATATTGATTAGCCCTGCACGTAAAAGTTGCTATTTTGGAAATTGAAAGTTTTAATATAACAGTGGCTAGCTATATTTTCAATTACTGAGCTGAAAATTGGGCCCCATCCTATCTATTTAACTAGATATTATATTGATTAAGATGTCATAAAAATAAAGCTAAAATTATATCACCTTAAAAAAGGTAAAGTGGCTAGCCTGGTTAATTTACCACAATAGTTGATTGATTAATATGTAGTAACTATAGGCTAAAAGTATAAATTGTATCACTTGAAAGAGTTAAAAAGGTTAGCCCATGCTATTTCACTGTAAATTGTGTCACTTAGAAAGAGCTTAAAAGTTTTTAGCCCGCACTATTTCACTACATAGTTGATTGATAAAGATGTCATAATAATAGGCTAAGTTGATTGTTAAAGATGTCATAAAAGTAAGCTAAAATTGTAAATTGTAGAGGTTAAAAGTAGCTAACCATGCCATTTCACTACACAATTGAATAAATTAAGAATTGAGATGTCATAAAAATAGGCTAAATTGTAAATTTTATAGCTTAAAAGAGGTTAAAAGTTGGAACCATACCACCATTTTAAGAGGCATATGCCTAATAGGCATAGTTTTTTCATCTGACTCTTTGAAATCCTCGGGCTCAATAAAAGAAATAGGCACAACTGTTAAAGGAAGCGATTCGGCACAATCTGAATATGAAAGCTCACTACTATCAGAAAAAATAGTATAGCCCATTGACTCAGAATCAGATTCAACACTAATGGTCAATGAATCGGGTTCAACCCAGACCGGTGACCGTTCATCTAAACCTGAATCCTTTTCTTTCGATTTTTCTTCAACTTCAATTTTTACTAATGAGAAATCCACATTGTTTTTTATGATCTCTTCGGTGTTCAGAGCTTCACTATCAGGTGAATTTTGTAGATTCTCCGCAGTTGCTTTTCCCATTGAGATGTCAAAAATAAACAACAAAACCAGAGAGAAATGAAGAATGGGGGTATGACAACTCTAGGTCTATGAAGGATTTTCGGTAGATAAAAATTTACGAAAAATTCAAATAAAAAAAATGTAAAGAATAATTTCTTTAGGATTTTTAAGAAAAGGGTATGCTTTGAAATGATGTGAAAAACCACAGATTTAATAAAGGTCTTTTCTTTGAAGATGAAACAAAGAAAACCAATTGTGTTTTTGTTGGTAAAGATTTGAACTTTGAAGAAATTAGTTGATTTTTTTTTTTTGCTTAGGAGTTTTGCAGAGGCTTTTGACAGGTAGGAGGGTTTCGAAATGGGAGAAAAACATATAAAGGGTTGGAGGTGGAGTGGAGATGGGGGTGGGGGACTTGGAAATTAAATTTTACAACTAGGAAATTGATTTAATTAAATAGATTGTCTAAATTAGTAGATTATCTCAATACTATGATATAACAGTCACTCAATTACTGATAATTATCTAAGAAAGTCATTATTTTTCTTCTTTTATAACAAGAAGGTCACTCAACTTTGTTTGTATATCTTCAAAAGTCACTCTATTAATATTTGAATGAGTAGAATATGATATGAAATTATATTTAATTAATATGATCTTTATTTTCAATCTACACTACAATAATCAATGACTCGACCTTATCCTAATTCATAACTTAAATTAATCGTATTTACTCAGAAAAATCATGAGGGAAACTTTAATATTTTCTCTCACCAAAAGTTCTGGCATGTGTATACTTGTTAGATGTAAATATCTGTGGATACTTTTACCAAATGTACCACTTCATAATTGCTTACCTTTCTTTCAGCGTAGAAGGTCCATTTCATTGAATCCAATATATTTTCTTCTATAGATGCATTTATATGAATCAATATTTTCTATTTTTGATATAATTTATAATTAATTTTTATTCATAAAAATACATACTACTCCTATAAAATATATAAGTTATTGCAATTTCTTATTTATTTGTGTTATTGTTAAGCTTGGATTAGACTGTGGTTTATTATTTCATGGATTAAAAAAGAAAAAAGTTCAGGTGAACAAAAAAAATTCATGCTTATTAATTTGAGAAAAAATAGAGGCGGCAATCACTGATAATTTTCTATCTATGATCTCTGAAATTAACATTATCAGGTTTTTCGTTGACATAATTATTTTCTCAAGGCTTGTTAATCTTTCTAAAGAATTGAGCATTGTTATTTTGTGTTTGAGTTGATAAATTTTAGGACCCTCAACTATTTAATACTCGTCTCTCTCTTTCTCTCTCTCTCTCTCTCTCTCTCTCTCTCTCTCTCTCTCACACACACACACACACACACACATATATATATATATATATATATATATATATTAAATTTGATTATATATATAATTAATAAATTAACAAAAAGAAAACTGAGCTCTAGTTTAAAGGTTTGTCTATGTATTTGACCTAGTTGAATTCTCTCTTACACACATCATCTAGAAAATTCGATTTGATTCAATTTTTTCTTCAATCATTTAGTAAAATTAAAAATATAACCTAATTATTTAATACTATTGTAAATTTACTAGTCTTTGATAAATGAATTGTGCATGTATCTCCATTAAAATTTATAGAAATATCATTATTATTGCATATGCTACGAATACACGATATAATTGAACCTAGAACATTAATTATTGATTTTAATAAAAAGTCAGACTTATCAAATTCGTGATGGATTATATAAAGTCCATATGAAAGTATAGTAAGGTTGGAAAATCATGTAATGCAATGAATTTTACTAAGACAATTCATAATAGTATTGAAAGGACTACTTATCTTAAATAAAATAAATGGACAAGCTCTTAATTGACATTTTGATTAATTTTGCTCCATGTTATCCTTAAGAGCTTAATAGACACTTCCCTTCGAATCAGGTAGAAAAAGGAATCTCATTGAGTTCTTAGTTTTTTATGCTTAGATGTTGCTAACTCAACTTTTTTGGTTACTACAAGGATGAACCTAATCCGAAATATGATTATGAGTCACCAAATAAAATATATATTAAATTGATCACATGAATATAAGTTATAATATATCCAAAAAGAAATCCTTGCAATAGTATTTTCCATTTATCCCACTTTTCCCCGTCTTCATCTAATGGTTATGTTACACACATAAACATTCATTGATAATTAAGTTATGAGATTCTTTCAAAATGAGCTAAGAGAATCTTTTTTTTAAATGAATAAATAATTGAAAAATAAAACAACATGCTCAAAATGAGTAATAACCCTTTTTTTTGTGAAGATAGATAATGTTCTCAATTGACCCTCAGTTGAACGAACAATGGCATATTTCTGATTTTACCTCCTATCAGAGAAATTAAAACTTATGACTACAATAATAGACAGAAATAAGTAACAAGGAAAACACTATTTTCTACTTAAAACAATAAGGATTGTTCCATAGAAAAATATTTGCATATAGAAAAAATATACAACTTCATGAATAAAACTTTGAAAATAAATTTTAGAAGAGGAGCAATTATAGAATAAATACATATTCATGTCATTCGGTCTGAATGCTACATGAAGAACATAAGCCAGATGATGGAACGGGAAGACCTAGGATGTACAAGATTTATATATAAGATCGATATTTATAGATATCATCATCTCTCTCATATCTCATAAACCAATCTAGTCGTAGGGACATCAGAATCTATCAAATTTGATCAACTATTAATGAGTAATCCTGATGTAGGTGGATCTGGTCAGGAAGATGCAGAGAGAGTACTTTAAAATGTATTACGTGTCCAAGGACTTTTGTTAATCTTGACATATGTTATTATGGTGTGTTCTCTAAGGTGCTTTGTGGGGCTCCTTCCTCCAAAAATGGGGTTAAATGCATCATCATGCTCCACCTCGTGGTTCGTGTCATCCAAGGGTACCCCCACTTGCGTGCAAAGCATAGGAACAAAACTAGGGAGGTAAGGAGATTTCTAAGTACCGTGGTAGAAATCCTTCAAAACCACAGGCCCTTCATAAATATGGTTATCCCCACAACTTCTTGGTGCATTCGGAATACTCATGCTTCTGATGTTGGTGAATCTAATGATGCTACAGATGAGACATCTTCGAAGCCTGAACATTACAAGATTCAGGATAATGAATCAAAAGAGATTGTTAACACCCCTTTAGTCTACCAACGGTTTGCACATGGATAATTTAAGGAAATTAGAAATTAGATTGCTTTAACTTATAAGTTATTCGTTTTTCCTATTTCTCTGTAATAGTTATTTATAGTAGATTACTACAAATTTTAAGTAATTATTATTTCATCTTCTGTGTAGCAGTTGTTGCTGTAAAAAGGTTATTCCTCTACTTTCTCTTTCAGTTGTAGTAGAAACTTATTTCCTTGTGTTTAGATGGGTGTTAATCCACCAGTGTTGTATTTAGTGTACTTGAATTCGGTGAAATATTATGCAAAAAATTATTAAGTTTATAAGTATTTCAAGCTCAAAGGATTGCAGGTTATCTCATAATAATGAACCAACACTAGGTCGTAGGAAGAAAACATTTGATTTCTAGTTCAATGGGTTAGTTTATATGATTGGCCCTTTGGTTGTTATAATGCATGGTGGTGGTTGTAGTTGGTATAATCACGGCTAGTTGATTCTTGTAGTACACAAATTGTTGTGGTTAGGTTATTGGGCTAGCACCTCTAGGTACGTTTGTTTGCCTCGGTTATTTGCCTCTTTTATCTTATCTCCATTAGTTTTGCTTACTTGTTTGGCATTTTTTCTCTTTTGTAGTTGCATGTTATGTATAGTCCTTCTTTACCTATTATTTTTTTTACTTTATCTTTTGAGCTCATTCAACTTATGACTACTAATTAGCATTTGTTTGTAGGACATTTTGACAGAGTCAATTTTGGGATTTTCGGTGCGGATCCCACATTCCTATTTTGACCCCAATTTTTGGGTCCATTTCTAATTATTGTGAATTTAGAATATAAGTGTCTATAACGCTGTCGTGATCGATAAATTGATTGTAGTGGTTTTTGAGGTGTTTTGGAAGTGGATAGCCCTTGTGTGGTGGATTCAGAGTGCTCATTATCAGCCTTGAGGTAGGCTTCAGTCTACTTTTTTCATGAACTTCTTAAATTATGCATAGTATATATTTCATATACTTTTGGATTATAATTTCCTAGTATTTAGCTTTCCTTTTATTATTTCATCTTTTCTTGATTTCATAGGAGTTGTGGGCTAAGTGTGAGTGTTGGAATCCTAAGTTTAGGCTTGTAGCTTCGCTTGTGGTGTAGATGATCTTGTTTACCCTTTTTAGGATTGATGTTTGGTGTCCTTAGACTAGGTTGAACCTTAGCTTCTTTAGATTGTGTTTTACCGCCTCACAGATAGAATTTTCTCCCTATAAGGCTATTATTGGGTTGTTCTCCTTGTGATCTTGTCATAGCCGTGGGTTGGTCTTAGTTATGTTGAGTCAGGAACTGAAGTGTTATGATTGGGATAGGGTGTTGTCCCTTTAGTTGGTTCCCATTTCTATTGATTTAAAATATCTTATTGATACCTTAGCTTATTGTTTAGTGGTAGTCCTATTGTATCCTTATTGAGCTTATGATTATATTGTTAGGCCCGAGGTCATGTATCTGGACTCGTTGGATCCCAAGTAGTCCACACTTTTATAGCGTAGTTTGGTTGCATGTGTATTTATTTAAATTGGAGTGCCTTGGTAAGATGCTGGTAATGGCATGAATTGCATTATTTGTTCATTATCACATATTTATGGTATGATGTTGGTGCATGCATTGGCATATTTATCTTTCATGCTAAAACATTATTTTACTCACCTCTATTCTAAATTTGTTTTACTGGGAATTGTACTACCTTAATCACTTGATTTCTAGTTTTTTGAGATTATGAGACGTTACAGAAGTGCTCCTTTCCAACTTAAGATATTAGAGGCATCAGGGA